AGTTAGAACAACTGCTTTAGAATATTTGGTGATAATTCTCACATCTGCATCTTTTTCCTGTTGGGCTACATTGATTCCCTTTCTCTTTTTAATTGGTCATAGTTTCCTGATTTTTTATGTCAAGCAATTTGAGACTGTTCCCTTGGATATTTTGCAGACTCTTTTGAGTAGTCTATATTCTGATGTATTTCTCCAAAATGTGTTGGTTTTCCTATTTTAGCAGGGACTTTATAATTGACCTCAGATTTAAATTTCTGTCTTTTGGGAAGTGCCTGGGTGGCTCATTTGGTTGAGTGGTTGAGGGTCTGACGCTTGATTTTGGCTTGGTCATGAGCCCAGGGCTGTGGACTTGAGCCCAACGTCGGGCTCTGCACTGGATTTCGAGTCTGCTTAAGATCTTACCTCCCACCCTCTCTCTCTCTCTCTCTCTCTCTGTCTTTTTCCCTCTGTCTCCCACTGCCCTTCTCCCCCATGGTGCTCTCTAAAACAAACAACCAAAAATATCTATCTTTTGGGCAGCAGATCAAATCTTAAACCAATTCTTTTCAAATAAATTATTTTATCTTTAGCTATAATGTAGCTTTCACATGCATCAGTGACTTGGAAAACTTTTATACATAGAACTCGGTGCACATCCTTTATGTTTTCTTGTGCATGGGATTCATCCTCCATTTTTGACATCTGTGGTTGCCTCAAATTCTGTTTTCCGTGTTGTTGTTGTTGTTGTTGTTGTTGTTGTTGTTTGTCTAGAAAGATTGCAGATTTGACTGCAGGTCTATTGAAATGTTACTCACTCTACATGGCACCAACATTGGACTGTCTTAAGCTAAAAGTTGAAAAAGTGAAAAATATATACCTTCCCATACGTATTTCAAGTGTCACTTCCCCTCCAAAATCTGCGTCCTTTTGTTCATGCTTCAGTGGCTTCAGGTCATTTTATGTGCATATGTATATGTGTGTTTTTAAAGGATATTTATTGGGGAGCCTGGGTGGCTTAGTCGGTTAAGCGTCCGACTTTCACTTAGGTCATGATCTCGCGGTTCGTGGGTTCGAGCCCCGCGTCGGGCTCTGTGCTGACTGCCAGCTCAGAGCCTGGAGCCTGTTTCAGTCTGTGACTCCCTCTCTCTCTGACCCTCCCCTGCTCACTCTGTCTCTCTCTCTCCTAGAAATAACTAAATAAATAAATAAATAAATAAAAACATTAAAAAAATAAATGATATTTATTTGAGGGGCAATAAATTACTGGTATATCCAGAATGGCTATGTGTCATCATCTAAATCTATTGACAAACATTATAAGTCAAAACTACCTGTTACGAGCACATTTGGCAGGTCAATATCCTCTTGTAACGGGGGGATCAATCTATCTTGAGTTTTTGGGGCCACTAATGCAAATTTCATCCAAGAACATTTATTCCAGTGTGATAGATAACTCCCAAAATGTCTTTTAATGGTGTACCACTAATTAAAATCTCTAATTTCCATTTTTTCCTTTAAAATTTTTATCTCCCTGAGACTTGAATGCTCATTATTTTTAAAACAAAATTTTTATGTCTTTATTTTGAGAGATGAAGAGCCAGCAGGGGAGGAGCAGAGAGAGAGGAAGACACAGAATCCAAAGCAGGCTCCAGTCTCTGGGCTAGCTGTCAACACAGAGCCTGATGTGGGACTCGAACCCACAGACTGTGAGATCATGACCTGAGCC